TATTATATATTACTTCTATTCTATTCTATTCATCTGTGGACTGCTTGTCTGTCAGACACTATTATATATATTTAAAAATTGAGACAGACTAGAAAGAAGGATTGGCCATCCACTTCCGAAATGACAGGCCCTCGAAAACCCTATGTACGATATAGCACACTTAGACTATCGCTTGGACTAGCAGACATTGCAATTGAGACTGAGATCTTAAAAATGGAAACATAGTTATTCTGTGAGTAGAGTGGTGGGAATGAGTGTGTTTGAGATGGTGAGGTTGGCACAGGATAGAGCGGCCTTTAGGGCTCTTGTACGTAGGGTCGCTGTGAGTTGCAAGTGACTCGATGGTACATAACAACAAAACCAACATTATATTAATAGCAGTACAGGTTTGCACAGGGGTTGTATTCTCTCTCCATATCTATTCAATCTGTACGGTGAACAAAACATCTGAGAAGCTGGTTTCTATGAAGAAAAGTGTGGAGTCAGGATAGGAGGAAGACTCATTAACAGCCTGCGTTCTGAAGATGACACAACCTTACCTGCTGAAACGGAGGAGGACTTGAAGTGTCTGCTGCAGAAGGTCCAGAAATACAGCCTTTCAATACAAACTGCCTCTCAATGTCCAGAAGACAAAAATCCTCTCCGCTGGACACAGAGGTACCATCATCACAGATGGAAAAGAGACTGAAATTGGTACTGATTTTGTTTTACTTGGGTCTACAGACGACACCCTTTGTAGGAGACGTCAAGAAATCTAAAGACGGGTGGCATCAGGGCAACCTGATGTCCAGGGTTTCTCCAAATTTTTAATAAGGGAGGATATTTGTTAAGCCACTGACCGCTTTAAAAAGCATCCTAGTCAAAGATCTTAGAAAGTTGTTAGAAGGGATCAAACTGACCATGACTCACTTCAATCCTATGACCAGTAGATCTGATCGCTGTCCTGTCCCGATGTCTGCAGTCACTGTGTCCATCCACCTCATCGAGGGTCTTCTTCTGTGTCTCTGACCCTCCACCATCCCCAGCTGGACATCTTTCCCCAAAGACTGACTCCTCCTGACCACAGGCCCCCAGTGTTTGAGACCAAGTTTTCCCAGCTCCGCTCCCCAGGATCCTTCTGGCTGCAGTTCTTCTAAGACACATTTGTTCCTTTTCTGGCAGTGTCTTTTCACCAACCCCATCATTTCCGTCGCATCTTAGCGCTTGTGGGATTGGCAGAGAATATTAAATACACAGTGGACTGCCAGAAAGAAGAGCAAGCATCTCTCTCTCTCTCTCTCTCTCTCGATGCTTGGAGAAGTCGGGAGCTGGCCTCAGAATTCACAGGCATCCATTCTTCTCCAGCTGCTGGGTCTGTGGTCCAATGCTTGCCTGTCCATGAGCCAAAGGATGTGGCTTGAATCCCAGCTTCGGGATGTTATTTTTCTGCCTAGCAGATTTGCCCGAAACAATAGTAAATGCTGCATCAAATCCAATCAAACCCCCAGCGGCCCTGCAGGACAGAGCAGAGCTGCCCCATGAGGTCAATGAGGCCGTGAATCTTTCCAGAGGCAGACGGTCTTGGCTCTCTCCCTCGGGGCGGCTGGTGGCTTCAAACCCTTGACCTTGTGGTGAGCAGGCAAATAAATGCCTTAATCACTGCAGCACTAAAAGGTATACATAGAACCTATTTCTATTAAATTGGTTTATGTGATTGTGGAGATGGGAGACTATCCCATTCCCTCTCCCCTCTCCCCTCTCTCTCTCTCCTTCCCTCCCTCCCCTTCTCTCTCCATCTGTATCAGTCTCTCTCTTTGATATGTTGTTGTTGTTGCTATGTGCTGTCGAGTCGCTTGCAACTCATAGAGACCCTATGTACAACAGCCCTAAACTCTGCTCTGTCCTGTGCCAATCGCACTGTCTCTGGCACACACATCCCGATTATCCCAGTCACTGAATCAATCCACCTCATAGAGGGCCTTCCCCTCCTGCACTGTTCCTCCACCCTCCCAAGCATGATGTCCTTTTCCAAGGACAGGTCCTTTCTTACAACATGTCCCAAGTATGTCAGACAAAGTCTCAGAATCCTTGCCTCCAAGGAGCCACCAGGTTTAACCCTTTCCAGGACAAATCTGTTTGTTTTCC